GGCTTTTGGAATCTCTGGGTGGAGGACGACGACGACCTTCGTGAGTACGAGCCATCGATGCCTGCAACACCTGCTATGGCACCGATCGACACCGTCGTGGCTCCACGTCTTCCTCCTCAAGCCTTGCCCCTGCAACCGGCGCAGCAACAGCACCAGACAACAAGCTACAACCTGACGATGAGTCCCACCTACAACCAGACCATCATGCATCAGCAAAGGTTTGGCGAGCCTAGCTCAGCTCTTAACCGGGCATCGACTACACCAAGGGCGCCCAGGACACCGAGCGAGGACGCCCAGAGTTCGGTCACGTACACCGTCACGTGCTCTACCTGCCCCTTCTGGACTACCGCAAGGTGACGCACGTGAATTACCACGACAACTTCCTGACCTGCGACGTGGCGAAGGTGCGGACGACAGTGCGCAATACGGGAGTGCGGCCTACGATAGTGCGATCTTTGAGGACCCTATCGTTGAGGCCAGTGGATATGCTCAAGGCAGTCCTGCTGAAGCCGAGCGGCAAGCACCTTTCCCAGAAGGACAAGCTCTACCAGAACCTTCCGCACCACCACCACACGCAGACCAGGAGTTCGAGACACCTGTTCCAGAGGGACAACAGTCCGTGACGGCACCGTCCCCAGAAGAACAAGCTCTAGCAGAACCTTTCGCGCCACCACCACCTGGGTCCTCTCCAGCTTCAGTTCACAGCCCAACCGAGGAGGTCCCGAGCTCAGATGCAGCGACACAGCCGAGTTTGAGTACTGCACCTTTGGCACCTTCAGAACCTCCTCTACCACAACTTCCGTTGAAGAGACCTTGCGAGTCCATGACGACGCTGCTCTACGACGAGGACCAGTTGGTGAAAGTCAGCCCCGACGACGACTACAACACAGGCGTTTTCGGACCCAAGGCGAACGTCTTCTACCAGGCCTACTTGACGAGCCAGCGCCGCAAGGACGAGGTCCCTCCGGACAAGCCCCACGTCGAAAGCGACGCAACAGACTCGGACCATACTGGGCCTTCGCCGGGAATGACCTCAGCTAAGAGACAACTTTCCCGCAAGGAACTCAAGGAATTGGACCGAGAGCTTCCTTGGACCCAGATCCTTCGATCCAATGACGTGGCCGAGTACCTCAAGGCCATCGACAAGGAAGCGACTTCTTGGCTTGACTGGAAGAGCGTCGAACCCCTGAGTCACGATCAGGCAAGGCAAGTGCTAAATGACAAGATTCTTTGTAAGAGGATCCTCCGCACACGTGCCTGTTATCGTGACAAAGCTAGAGGCCAAGGTCCTGTCCGTGCCAAATGCAGGATCGTCTGCCTGGGTCATCGAGACCCCGACCTTTTCACTTTGAACAGGCAGGCGCCGACGCCTAACCGTTCATCCGAACACGTCCTCTACTACCTGATCGTCGCCGGCGCCAACAGTGAGATCGAGGGCACGAACCTGCGGTGGCAGGCCTGGACAGGAGACGCCAGCACAGCTTTCCTTCAAGGGAAGCATAAAGAGCGTACCTTGCCTCTCTTCTTGAAACCGCCTGCGGACGGCCTCATCAACCAAACACCGCATTGGAAGGCACCGCTTTACAAGGTGTGCTCCAATATCTACGGACTTGCAGACGCTCCCCGTGTGTGGGCGCTGGAGGTGATCTCCAGGCTTCTTCGACTGGGATACACCCAACACAGCTTCGACCGAATGATCTTCCTCAAGCGCTGTTCCAAGGGCAAGATCATGAGTGCCATCCTCGTCTACGTCGACGATTTCCTGGGTGTTCACCGCTCCGACTACAACTTCGAAGAGGTCAGGCAGTCCTTTCAGTGGGGTTCGCTGGAAACCCTTGAGGTCGGCAAGCCGATCACCTTTAAAGGGAAAAAAGTGGAGCTGTTTGTCAAGCCTGGCAACTCTAACCGCTACCAGCTACGCCTCACGCAGAAAGCCTTCTTGGACGGACTCTTGCAAGGCAAGCTTCCTAAAGGCATCGACCTGGACGAGAAGCTGAACAAGGAGTACAAGGAGGAGTTCCGTTCCGTGGCAGGTTCGCTGCAGTGGCTGTCGAGTCAGACGAGACCCGAACTGTCTCCTTTCATCTCGCTCAGCAACAAAGGCGAGTTGACTACGTATGGGGACCTGAAGAACCTCTTCCTGGCCCTGGACTTCGCCAAGCAGACCTCCCACGAAGGACTAGTTCTTGCAGACGTTCCCCTTGGTCCTTCGACTACCCTGGTTTCCTACGCCGACTCCAGCTTCGCCAACACTCCGCAGTTGCGCTCCCAGTACGGTGTGCTCATCTTGGCTTCAGTCCCACAGGTGGCACAGACGCCGTGTCCTGGACTTCTTCTTGATTGGCGCAGCGGCAAGTCAAGCAGGGTGTGTCGGTCAACACTGGCGGCCGAGGCCATGGTGGCCGACGAGGCGGTGGACCGCAGCGCGTACTTGAACCTCTTCATCTCGGAGGTGATCACTGGCGTTCCGGCTCATCGTGTGCAGCCAGCACTACGTCACCTTCACGTGACTGATGCAAAATCCTTGTACGACGTGCTGGAGTCAGAGACTCCTAATTTGGCTGATAAGAGAAGCCTTGTGAACGTTAGAGCTGTCCAAGAGGTGGTGAAGGGCGAAAACGTCCACTGGGTGCCTACCCACCTAATGCGGGCCGACGGGCTCACTAAGATCTCTGTGCAACTGCTGCCGGATCTGCATTCTTGGCTTTTGAGGCCCTTAATCATCTTGCGTGACATCATTGCCAAATAATAAAATACTACCGGTGATAATTGCACGCTTGGGTTCCCATTGGCAATGATGAGCACGCACCTTCTGCGATGCCATTTGTGGCTCACTGACGTGCCCAGCCGGGCCCGCTTGAGTAGTTTTTCTTGTAGTGGAAAATGTCCGCTTTGCTTTGCTGAGCATCCACGGTTCTGAGCGAGTGGTTTGCTAGGACCTTCTGTCCGTGTTTTCCAAGTGTGTTTCCTGAAGCATCTCAACAGAAAGCCTTCTCGGAATGATTCGGCCAAAGATGCCTAAGCTTGACTCTTCTCCTCAGCGATGGTTGCAGTGGGAAGAGGGATTATGTGGCCAAACTTGCGCTCATTCTCGCGTGGAAATTGCTGCTATATTGGTGTGTTGCAACGCGGTGCCTTGCGCGTCGCGAGGAAAGTGCAGGTTTGCTTAATTGGGATTGGGACAACATGAGAACAGGGAATGACAACAAGAGGATGAGGTCCAAAACGTGCAATCACGATAAGAGTAAAAATGTTACTTGAGCAGCATTTGGTGCCAAGCAGAAAAAGTCTGGCTTGTTTGCTACAACCCCCTGTGCTCTTCTGAAGGCCGCACCACACGCACAGAGGATTCAGGTTCCAGCAGCTTAATTACACACCTGCATGCAGCGCTAAAATGTCCTACACTCTAGAGAGGTTTCGAATTCCACGCTCAGAGTTGACCGTTTCTTGCCATCGGAAGGAATACTTACTTGATTTACCTTTGCATGTGCTGTGTCTTGGCACCCAGGCTTGCGGAGCTTCGCGAGAAGGTCGACTATGATGGTTATTTGCATGAGGTCGAAAGCACACGTGACACGCTGCGATGCAGCTTTTGCAGGTGGAGCAATAGTATACACTGCTAGGATGTCGATGCCCGCGGACAGCGGCCAGTCCAGTTGGCCAAATTAGCATGCTGGCTTTTGTTTTGCTGGGTTGTGCTGGGCCTTGCGGCCAGGTGGCCCTGAGCGTTGCGCTTCTCGCTGATGCCACCGACGAGGCCCAGAGTTTCAAGCAACGTGATTAATTCCGCGGATGCCACTTTTAGAGGTCTAAAGATTGCCTTGAAATCGGGCTCATACTGCAAACTTTCTCATGTAAGTTTCTCGTGAGGAATGGGCGCTATGGCCTAGGATCCTGGCCAAGCAGCTTGATTTGGTTTGAGCGAGCTTGGGAGAAAAGTGTAGATGATTGTCTGCTGTTGCTGTGAGGTTCGAGCAGCAGTGCAAGCAAGATTCGGAAGAGGCCAGATTCCAAAGCACATCATGACATGCGGTGACATGCGTGTTTAGTAGGGGGCTTAGCTATCTGCAGAAGACAAGTGTCAGGACAAGCCGATTAAGCGTGAGGCAGAAGCAGATGCCCTGTTCTTGGCAATGAAGGACGGTTTACTACAGCGGGCGTGTGGCGTATGCTTACCAGCATGCGCACTTGGCAGTCCAGCCTCAGGACCTCGTGGAAGAGCATGGAAAGAGTCCGGATGCCATGGCGGCCGAGAAATATGTTGGGACCATATTGCTTGCGTGGTGTCATTCTTGTAGACCAACATTTTTCTGCATGCTCAGCTCAAAATCATCAAGACCACATACACCAGCTCATCGCACAAGGACTATACTGGCTGCCTGCTGTGAATGTTTTCCGCATCCATCCCTGCCAGTCACAGTGGAGGACCGCGCTGTCGCTGTTGCAAAGTTCGCGGACTTCTGGGTGGCAAACAAGGATGGTGAGCATGAGACCCGGTGCCCAGGGTGCTACAGCTCTTCGCAGAGATGTACTGTAGCTGCCTTCATTTTGCCCCAGCCATCAAAGACAAGCCAAGACAAGCACTGGAGGTTTCCGGAGCCGAAGGCCTGTGCACTGCTGTGCATTCGGGAGTCACCAACCTCAAAGGCCTCTGGATACAGGTCCACATCATGGCCGTGAAGAAGTACCAGCTCATGGATCGACAGCTTGTTGAGCAGGCGAGAGACGAAGGCAAGTGGCCTCCGGTTAAAGAGTCTGAGAGTGCAGGCGAAGCAAACTGCAGCAGAGTGGCTTCTGCCTGCTGGCTGGGCTGTGAAGCTTGGAAGAGATGGCCGACTCATCAAGGCGGGTCCTGAGCCTGTTCGCCCTGTGCAGTGTGATTTGTGGGGACAGGTCACAGGGCCCGGTGGCAAGACAGACTTCTACCGCACCAAGGCCCCCTGCACCCACTGCTTGCCACATTGTCACTTCAGCACCTGCAGGAAGCGGCTCTTGAGGCTGTGGAGGGCAAGGTGGGAGAGATCAATTCCTGCAGTCGAATTACAGCCACTTCAGCGGCATTTCTTCCTTTCCAGACTAGGCCAAGCGGCAGGCAGAAACCGCCAAGGCCCGACATGAGCAGATGGTTTCGGCCAAGGAGGCGGCCCTGGGCATTTTGATAGCGTTGCATTCTGAACAACTGGATGTGCCAGGCACACACGGAAAGGACAGAGGCTGACCGCGTTCATCGCCTCTGGCAATGGCAATTTTTCGTTGTGGTCTGCAGGCAGGCCTGCGCAGACAATTAGCCAAGGCAGTACGGGAGGCAGGGTGCTGATTACCTTTTGCTTGAAGTTGCCGAGTGACACGTGACTGAGGACGTTTAGATGGAAGTGTTCACAGCCTCGCATGATACGGGTAAGACCTCTCGAATTGAACGTGTGGCAAGTGCTACCAGGAGGATTACGATCTCGCAGAGCGCCTGCATGCCGAGCATCTTGGCCATTCTGTCCAGTCCAATCAGTTCTGAGCATGCAATACGCCGCAGTGGCAAGCACTGATAAGAAAGCTAAGGCTGAACGACAGGACTTCGGCTGGGCGCCCCAGCCGGAGAGGCACAATGCCGATCGTGGCTCGCAGTGCGGAGGCCTTGCACACCACGCCACCATACTCTGCTCTCTCAAGGATTTGGGGGGGGGCATTGCTTGCAGGATGTGGCGCGCCGGAAAGGGACGGGACGAGGCCGAACCTGGCAATTCAATTCAAGAAGTTTATGAGTAGGGTGGAGTCAGGGCTAACAAGAGGCGTTGTGAAGCGCAAGACTGACGCAGAGGCGACTTCTCTGAACCGCAGCATGCAGCCAGGTAGTTTTTTGAGTGAACCACATGCAGGATACAAATCCGAGCCCGTTGAAAGTACGCAAGGCCTCATTGAAGAGAGGTGACAAAAATGGATGGAATTCCAACTCTCCTCTGTGCAAGGCCATGGGGCTCAAGCATCAGCAGAAGCACGAGGTCCTGGGCAGCTGCACTTTGATATTGTCGAGGCTAGCAGTGAGATTGGCAAAGTAGCAGGTGGCCAGAAGCGAGCTTACTCTCCGTGCAGGGGAATGGTGAGGAGCCAAGAGGAGACGCAAAGAGAGAGCATCAGCGGATCTGAGAGACGCTTGCTTGCCCCAGGCGCTTGCAGGGAGTCCGTCTAAAGAACGGCTCCGTGGTCCCTCTGAACTCCGCAGCGCTGCAGGCCGAAAATGGAGAGTGTGTGATGTGTGTGGCCTCCTCCGCTCGAGCCGGCTCGAGCCAGCTCTGTTCTTTGTGCCAGAGCAGGGCCTGTCCCCGGACGCTGTGGTCCTTGTGCTTGTCTACGTGGACGAGGAGGTGCGTGAAAGGAAGAGGAGGCAAGGCCAAACCACTGAGATGGGGGGTAGCTAGTGGGCTTAGCGGGGTAGGGGTGCAACCGGGGGGCGGGCCCGAGGCAGATCATTGAGGATTGGGGTTTGGACGACACCTGGACAGTGACGGTTCGCTACCGTCTTTCTGGACACCAGGCGGGTTCTACAATTATGAATTGGCAAGTGGCCACTTTCAAGGGCCCTGCTCGCCCTGTTTGTTTTTTTCTTTGCATGGCTCTCAGGTTACAGCCAAGCGCGCTGACGGCAAGGCCTCGTTCGTTGCTAAAAGCTAATTATTGGCTATTTGGAAACAGCACTGGTTGTGTTTTACAGCCAGGTTTTTCTAAGCAAGCACGAGGTGGTCTGTGACAGGGACCGCGAGGCAAGGTTGTTTTAGGGAAGAGGTCTCGAGCTCCTGCGCCGGGAGGCATTGGAGCAGCCGGAAGCCCGATTGAAAGTGCATTAGTAGAGGTGTGAAGGGGAGCTTCGCCCAGGATTTCGCAGCAGGCCACGGCACGGGCCCAGGACACCCATGCATCAGCAGATTCTTAGCCGGAAGCTGGACAAGTCTTAGACTCAGACAGGATGTCCAGGCCCTGCTGTCCAGCCATAGCCAGGCAGCCGGCTTAAAGAAGTGGGGGTAGATTCGAACATATGCAAAAATTACGATACATTCCTTATGATGCATCCTCCTTATGCCAGGCATCTCTCCCAGTCTGGGAGTTGGAGGTCAAGGCTTGGGGGCTTGGTCTCAGACAGCAAATCACCCAATTTCCCGATTTGAGAGGAGATGCCTTTGCTTTCTGGGCTTTACGTCGCTGAAGGGGAGCCTGTACCTCAGATGTTGCAGCTGCCCCTCGGCTTCAGTGTTCTGCACCCGCAACGAGGTCCTTTGTCAAGGCTCGTTCTCCTCACGCCTTGCACTGCCCTCCACCCTTGACCCCTGCACAGACCGGCTTGCACGCCTGCGCAGGTCTCATGCCTTGGACCTGGAGACCAGGTGAAGGTGCAAACTGAAAGCTGCTTCAGGGTACCAGTGCAACAGCCTGCGAGATTGGCAGGTGTGTTATGCTCCAGATGACCACGCGGGAGGAGAGATGGCCTGGAAGCTTTGGGCTGAGCGCCGCTGGGTATTGGCAAGTATCATCACATCGCATGCAAACTTCAAGGCGGCCACGCTCTAGTCTGCAACATGTCGAAAGCATTTGCATGAAGGGCCTCGAGAAATCAAGATCGCTTTGGCTTGCCTTGGCCACAGATGTGTTCCAGACGGTTTTTGAAAAAACCGTGCACCAAGCTGGTTACCACTGCCTCCGTCTCTCAACACGCAAGGGTTGTATAACAAAGGAGGTTCTTGTTAGATATGCATGGGAGCCTCCACAGCATGTACAGGGCCGCCTTGCAAAACAAATGATCGTCACACACAGCGCGGTCTACGCCCAGGCTGCTCACGTGACATGTTCAATGTATGCTCCAAGCACAAGTGGGTTTGGGCGGCACCAACACATACAAACCACGATTTTGGGGAGCATAGCTTTGTAAAAATCTTCGAGTTTAAGGGGGGCACCATGAAATCTGACAAAATTTGCGAAGGTAAAAGAAAAGTTTAATCGTAGAGGAAACCTCCTATTTGTAAATAGTGGACTGGTATGGATTGAAAGTAACTGTGAGGGACCTCAATGTAAACTGATAGTCTCGTGCATTTCCATTTACATGGAAATTTCAGCAAAGGCATCTGCATGATGTAGGTGGGGCTTCCATGGAGGCCTTGAAAATGTCACATACGGGGTTCATGGGGAGAAGAGTACGTGCATCAATGTCAATTAGGCGACCTACGTGTGTAAAAGTAGAAGACGCGATTGCCATAGCTGACCGCAAAGAAATTCTTGTGTACAAAGGGACGTACAGGTGAAATTGTGAAATTGTGGCTTATGTGCAAGCACTGGCAAAGACGAGAGCTTCTCCACATGACGAGATGTTACTTGCGTACAGGAGCCCATGCAGATGGTTGTTGCTCGCGAGAGCATCTCATTAAGCGACAAATTTCATAAGAGAACCTGCATCAAGGATGGCGAGCTTGGCGAGCTCATATAGGAATCTCCCACCCACATGGAACATGCATTCATGCTGCTATGGTCGATAGGCACCTATCTATGAGATATAAAAGTGCATAAGGAGGAACTAATTCAGGAACAAAGGAGAGATTCTATGGTTATGGCAAGCCGCATTAGGTATTTGCATGATTATAAGGACTATGTAAATCATGGGTTGTGCAGGTGGTTTTCACTTTTCATCATGGGTTTGCTTGGAAGTCTCCACAGGAGATAACAAGTGTTTGAGATAAACCATGATCTGCTTTGTGTTGGGGCAGGCTTGGTGAGCCGACTTCATGCTGCAACGTTTCGGCTCAAAATTTAGCCAAAACGGCAGGCGTCTCCTGTCTTCGCTTCTTTTTCTTTCCCACCTGTCCCATCCCTTTCATCATTCGATGTTCATCTCAGTTCGTAAGTAGCGCTTGGTGCTACGGCAGTGGCTTCTTCTCTTTCCCCGGGGTTCCTCCCCTCTTATCCGGGAAGCAAGCTCTGAATTCTTGTCACCCCCTTGATGAATTCTCAGCGGCACGGGCACGGACGTGTTTCACCTATTCCGGTTTTTCCACATTGCAGGGTGGTGTGGCTACCGAGCGTGCTGGAGGATTCCAGAGTATCGCGTTAGGGAGATCCAGGTTCGGTGACGATCTGTGGTCGTGGGCAGGATGGGTCACGGACGTGACCACCCCCCTGGCCTTGCGGGGGCTACGAACGTAAATGGAAAGCAGCCTCCATGCTGTGCATATCAAGAGCTGCATGATTGCACTTGGAAAAAACACGAGCAGACCATCTTGCGACAGTCAAATTTTGATGTGAAAAGCCGCGCAGATGGATTTTAATGATCCAACGGCGACAAGAATTTTATGGGCACATGCATAGCCCAGGTCCGGTTTTGTTTTTTTGCAAAGGTGCGGTTCGGTCCTGGTGTAGCTGTGGTCCCGTGGTCCTCTGGTTCCGTGGTCCTCTGGTCACGTGGTCCTCTGGTCACGTGGTCCTCTGGTCCCGTGGTCCTCTGGTCCTGTCGTCCCCCGCTCCTTTGGAAACACTGTAATTTGCAGTATTTGAAATATTCCAAGGCTAGCAAACGTTGTAGCTTACAGCGCTTGAGCGCTCCAAGACCAGCAGATATTGTAATTTGCAGCAATAGAGACGCTCCAAGACCAATATTGTAATTTTCAGCGTCTGAAGCCTTCCAAGACCAGCAAATGTTGTGATTTGCCAATTTGGGTCAGTGCTGACCGTGGTCATTTGGTCCCATGGTTTTCTGGTTCCTTGGCCTGGTCCTCCGGTCGTCCTGTGATCTTCTGGTCTGGTAGTCGTGTGGTTTCCCGGTCGTTGGTCCCGTGGTCCGGTCGCTCCCATCACCAGGCCATCATGCACTTGCAAATCGGCCCTGGGCATCAAACATGATTTCTTACGCATCAGAAACCTTGACAAGCATCAAAAATTTGCTAAATGAGCTGCGAAAAGCGAGCGCAAATGCCTGCTCCCAGGACCTAGGCAATTCCGGTCCTCTGGTCCTGTGGTGCTCTGGTTGTGTGGTCCTCTGGACCTGTGGTCCTCTGCTGCTCCGGTCCTGCGGCCCTCTGGTCCTATGAACCTGTGGTCGTCTGGTGCTATGGTCCTAGATTTTGCATCGCTTAGAAATCTCAGACTGTCGTAATGCCCAGACTTTTTTGGCGTACAAGATGTTGTAAGATTCCCTTCATCCGCGCTAGTCTTGGTAGCGTTTGTGCGTCGGATTGGGGTAGCAAGCTATTTTGCTGCCAAAGATTGATGGCAAGATCCAGGCAAGTGGATCCTCGAGTATAACCCCTAACCTCATTCTTTCATTCCTTGTTAAACCAGGGTGTCACGCCAGAGCCGCCGCGGCCCACACCTTCGACCGGCTGCAACCGACAATGGGAAGATGGCTGCTTTGGCAAACTCGGCAGCAACCCCACGCGGCAGCCGCCGACCCCTTAACAAAGTTGAGCGCCAGGAGCTTGCCAAAGGGAGGGGTTCAAGAGCAAAACCTGCGCGGCCTTACTGGCCACAGGCCTTGCGCCCGGGAACGCGGAAACCACTGCTGCTGTCCGGGCTCTTCACCCTCAGGCTGCTGAACCGGCCGTGCCAGCAATGCATGAGTTGCCCCCAGCGCTCGAGCTCGTGCCTGATGTGGTTGCTAAGGCACTTCGCAGTTCCCTGCTGCTCCTCGGGCTTGCGAGTCCAAATCTTCCGGAGGGGCCTGGCTGCTGTGCTTAGCCTCCTTGCTCAGGACCACGCTTCTCCAGCAGCTGCTTGCGCATCGGCCGGAGCTGGACTGGTGGCTGGACTGGTGACTTTCCAAGCATCAGGGAGGCGCGGCGTGCGAGGTCCTATGCCGCCTCACGGGTAAATGTCTATGGCACTCAGCTCGGAGTTGCTGTCCCGGGTGGAACTGAAATGGCTGTCCATACTGTCCGGGCTTGGCTGGACAGGTACAGGCTTGGAGGGCAGAAGGTCCTCGTATGTCCTCGTTAAATTGGACTTTGAGAACGCATTCAACTGCATTGGAAGGCAATGTGTTGAACGTCTACCTCGCGTCCGTTGGTGGATGCATCGACTTGTGTAGTCAGGTAGCCGGGCACTTCTCTGTTGAGGCAGGTCCCGTCAGGCCTGACGTGCAGCAGGTTCTGGCCGAGCTCAACCCCCATGCTGTTGCGCCCCTCATTGCCCCCACGCCCTCATGCTGAAGCCGTTGACTGCAGGCCTGGACAACGAGCGGCGCCGGACGTTGTGCTGGATGTTTGGTGCCCGATTGTTGTACCACGCAGGTCTCTGCTCTATACCGGTCGCGAGAGAACGCTCTTACCGCGGTGACGCAGGCTGAGGCTTTTGCCAGCGCTACGCGCCTGGGGTGGGTCCTCGCCCTCATGCGACGACACCTCTGACAATCTTAACCAACACATTGGCTGTCAAGCCCCCACGCCCCACTAGTCTCGACCACGAGCGGCACGAAGCGCGCCCTCTGCGCCTGACATGCAGCGGCTGTGTCCAGGCGCCTCTTAGTGTCCGCGTAGGCGATGGCCGCAGCAAGGCTTCTTCTCACCCAAAGTTTCCAGCCGCTGAGGGCCAGTCACGGGCCCAGGGCATGGTGCAAGTGGCAGGCTTGAGGTTTTCAAAGCAAGGCCACTGGGCCACCCCCGCTCAGTGGGCCAATAAGCCAAGTGCCGAGGCTTCAGGCTCCACGTGTGCTCAGAGAGTGGGGCCTGCAGATACCGGATTCGGGCGGCAAGTCATCGCTCCTCAGGCACTCCGCTCTCAGTTTGCAACGGCTGGTGTTCGTGACATCAGCCCTGAAGCTCCTCTTGCTCGTACCGTAGCGTGCCGACTTTTTTCCCCACATCACTGAAAGCTCCCCCCCTCAGCGTTGCGCGGGGTGTGCGCTACTTGACTCAGGGCTTGGAGCTTCAGCGGTCACAGGGCTCGTAGTGTTCGGGGTCGCGATCCTCGTAACTGTCGTCGCTGTTACCCTTGGAGCCCCTTGGGCCATCCACGCCTCCAACACAAAATGCGTCACGTGGCTGCGCCCGCCCCAACCCCCCCGCTGTTTTAAAGCCACCCATGCTTCCAATTAAAATCATCATGTCATCAACATGTTTGCAGAAAGGGAAAGTTGTGCCTTTTCATTTTGTTTGCAGATGGGGGGGCTGCGTCCCCCCCAACCCCGCTCGCTGTTTTAAAGCATCGCGTGCTTCCAACAAACAACATCATGTCATCAACATGTTTGCAGGAAAGAAAGGTTGTACGGTAAGGTTCGACACCTGCAGCCTAAGGCGCATCCGAAGTATGGGGATGATCATGCCCATGATCATCCCCCCCCTCTGGTGTATAGTAAGGTGGGCACCAGGATTGTGTCCCTGTTCGTTTACCTGTGACAGCTTTATTCAGGTTATGGCACAGTGTGTATGCGTGCACAGACTTTCGACTTTTTCACGCCATGTGCGGCTCCGGACGACATTGCTGACATCGCCGCAACCTCAGATAACTGCTAGCT